GGGAGGGTGACGGAGGGCACGATAGAGGCGCAGGGCAGTGAAGCGGCCCGCGGGGCGCCCCCGGAGAGGGGAGGCGGGCGTGGAGGGGCGAAAGGCTCAGCAGGCGGGGCAGTCGAGGGGGTTGGGGATGGTAGCGACAGGAGCGGCGCCCCCCTAAGGCTTTCAGCCCCCCTCCCCCACACGGTGGTCTGCCTGGAAAGTTTCCCCGGCATCGCGTCGCCTCTTCGGCCTCCTGGCTCGTCGCGGGCACCGCGGAGGCTCCGCTTGGAGCCCCAGGCAGCTTCCTGTCCTTGCGCTCCCCCGCCCTGTTGCCGCGGCGCGCCTCTTTTGCGGTCTGGTGCCTGGAAAGGGGGCCCTCGTTCGCCCTTGCATAGAGCCCGCCGCGCGTGAAGCAAACGCTGGGCTTGGTCTGGGGGGATAGAACCCGGCCTGGCGTGTTGGAGGACCCGCGGTTGGTTGTAGTCAGGCAGCGCCGGGCTGGCTGAACCTGAGCTCTGACTCGGTACGAACGGCATTTGTTATGCCTGTTCGGTCTACATCACTCCCTCTCGGTTGGTGCTGTGTCCTTTTGCTATTGGTGAAGAAGAGACTGGGAATACCGCTCGTTCGAGGTGTTGGTGGCTACTGGTGCCCTATCTAGACAACTGGGGTAATTGATTGCAGGGTAGAGCGAGGCATTACGGGGTGTTAAACAACTTTTAGGGGCAAATGATTTCAACATCGTGAGTGCAAAGTAGGGAAAAGTGCTCCTTTGCACCCACTTTTTTTTCTATTTCAGCCTCACAAAGCAGGACCTTGTACAGAAAAGGCACATTGAGGCAAATGACTTCCAAGTCTTGAGTTGGAGATAGTTTTGATTATATCATATCAAGAAACCATCCTTTTGAATTCAGATGTTTCTACTCTGCCAACACTCATTGCAGAGAAAAAGATAAACGGATGACTGAGCTACATGAGAGGTCAAACATCTTTCAAAATCATCATCTTGTTTAGTTTGAACCCATCATAGATGAGAGACAATTGCACAGTAAATAGAATCTCACCTTCTTTCCTTTTTACTTTCAACAGAGAGTAGAAATGAACAGGGGTGAGGGACTTCTTGGCAGGAAACCCTCCCCAGGGTGTCCTCTCCCTCCAAGGTGAGATTTTTTGAGTTGTTTTCCCAACATTCTGTTGCTTCTAAGAGTTAAGAAATATGCAAGCAAGCGCAGTAGTAACTCCTGCCCCTGTCTTTTAATGGTGCAGCTTTGGATATAGCAGGAAGAGGAGGGCTGGGCTCAGTGCTGCCCACTGAGAAAGCAAGAGCAGTTGTCATTGCTCTCTCCACCTAGACAGCATAGAGGGAAATCTCAGAAGGATGGTGTCACTTGCTATCTATATATTCAGATGTGCTATCGTTTTGAATGGTGTTGGGAGGATTAGACCTAATCACTGCAAGGGTCCATATCACCAGGGGAAAGTGGGTTAAGGAGCAAGCTAAGCTGACAGCTCCTCCTCCAAATAAAGTCTTTTTTTGTTAATTCCTTTCCTCTCTTATTTGCTTGCTCTTTGTTCTCTATTCTGCATAGTAAGAAGAGGCAACTGGGCAGACTACCTTATTCTTTGGCTCACTCACTCTCAGTGGCCCTTTTAAGCATCTGCATATATTGCCCAAAGAGAGAGACTAAGCTGGCAGGAGAAAAATTAGACAGCAGCCACCATGATTTACATAGCCTTTCCTGCCCAAAGAATCTCAGGAAATCGGTAGATTACATGCCTCTGACAAGCTACTCACACTCTGAGAAAATTCAGTTTGCTGAGCTGTAGCCCTACCATTTTGCTGCCCAGAAGGAATCCAAGTTTGCATGATAGAGAATGATGCTCCTGCTACAATCCTGTTGCTTCATCAGTTAACAAGAGTGATGGTGAATGAGTGAACAAAATATGCTGCTACTGCTCTTATCTGAAGCTCTGCTACAAGGCCCAGAGAATATGAGCAAGAGGGATTGGTAGGATAAGGTATTTCTTTCCTCTAATTAACATACTTCCCTTAACCCTAACTCTCATTTCCAGAACTATGCTATAAAGAGAGGAAAAACATGTGTTAAAGCAGTAGTCACTACTTCTGTACAATCCATCAGCTCTTCTTCTGTGTATAATATGCTGCTTGTTCATTCTATGACTTGGGCAGTGCAGCAAGAAGAATTTGTTTATTATATCTAATTCCAAGAGCTGGATTTTATGGAGGATTCACTTGGTTGGACTCAATCTTATCTGAGAGTCAGAATAGTATCTATCTTAGTAATGTGAGTGTAGATGATTTTCTCTTGCTCTCCTTAAAGTAAATTGTGGAGGTCCCATGTTGTACCTTCCTCTCCAAAGCTCTTTAAAATTTGAACCTACCTTTATCTCTTACAAAAATTACAGTGGGGGAAGAATCCCACTGTTGACATTGGAGAGTATGGATTTTTTTCTTCTTTTAATTCTTTGGGAAGTTTGCTAGAGATTTCTGAAATCTGCCTCTGTGGGAAAGGTTTAACTCTTCCCAGCCCATATCAGTACTCCCTGTGTATAAAAGAAAAAAGGAATATGAGTTGTATATGCTAATATAATGCATAGTTTAATTTGCTCTTCTGTGGAGATTTGTACTTTCTGCTTCACCCATCACCACTATAGGCCATTCACCACTTATGTACAGAAATGAATGACATTGTCTTTCTCCCAACCCACTGCAGATGCTTCCCACACTGAGTTTTCAGCTTCAGTTCAAAACCACTTTTTTCTGATCTGAGGTATCTTAAGCGCTTCAGGTCAGATTGTCTCCGGTGCTTCATTCTAGTACCAACCCCAGCTCCACTTGACTTCAGTGCCTGGTTGCTGTCCTGAGCAGGCATTTTATGTAGATTACTATGTTTAGTCTCTCTGTATGTGTGTATACACAGAGTATATTGAAAGTCAGGCCCCATAGATAACTTACATAAATTGCATTATTATTATTTATTACATTTATATACTGCCCAACTCCCAGCAACTCTGGGTGGTATACAAATTGTTAAAAATATTTTAAAACAAGGAAATAGCACAAAACAAAAGAACAAAGATGACAGAGAAAACAAACCTGGATGGGAACAAAGAAAAAGAAGGGGCTTCAATAACCCTTGCTAAAGGTTTGAATAGAAGAGAATATATGTAGCTCAGGATTGAACTGTGGAGTTCTTAGAGTTCTCTGAGCTTGGTTGTTTTCTCGCAAACGCCTACCCTAAATCCAAAAATGCGAAGGAATTCCTGGAAGCTTGCTATTCAGACAAGGCAGCCATCAGCAGGCACATAGAGATAAGCCACATTTACACACTATTCAAAAGAGAAAATAAAAAGGAAACAAAAGACCAGAACATCTCCTCACCAG